AAAGCCCTAATGATAAACAAAGCTGCTTTATTCTTTGGAAATTAAACTCCTGGCCATGGTCAAAATATTCCCAGGCAAATGACAAACCATCATGTGCACATTTCTTTACTATAACATGTGACCTCTCACATCATAGTAATATTAAGTATAGCTCACCTTTATATACAGAAAGGCCACAATAAAATCTCACCAGAGTCTTTTCCAGGATGAACAACCCCAACTTGGTCAGCCTTTTTTTACAGAAGAGGTTTTACAGGCCTCTGATCATTTTTATGACCAAACAGTCTCAACCTCCTCACAGATTTCAATCTTCCACACTATACAGTGCCCTCCTTCTGGTCCAGTGAAATCTCTACATAGTATTATTCAGTCTTCCTTTAATTTAATATCCATACTGCTTTTCCTTTAGATTCTCTTTGTTTTAAATTGACATGCCTTAAATATGACAAATTAATTGTATAATAATTACAGTGAGATAACATCTCAGTAAAACCAGGATAAAATAATATAAATAGTGCATTAACAAACATATGAAATACTCTAAATATAAAAGCAAAAATTCCTGTTTCTGAAAATCATTCTAGTTTTTTTTGTGTTCATTTCTTTTTTACTCCCTGCAATATGGATAAAATGCTTTAGAATGATGAAGCTCTCCAGGTATTTAGCAGTTTAGTTTCAAGTGCATGACCTAGGATTCTATTAATGATCAGTTTTGACCCCTACACCTCCCCATAGACTCCTGGAGATAATGACAAGAGCAGAGAATTATTGATCGAAACTAAAGTGGCTCCCTTGTAGATCCTGAGCTTCTGTGTCAAACAAAATCAATCAATGCCAACTGAAAAGCATGTTAATCATAATGCATGAACAAATGATACCACCAACATTGTATAGAAAACAATATTGTTACAATGCTTGTAATAGAAATTAAATATTATTCAAACCTTAAAAAGTTAATAAAAAACCCACATAAATCATACTTTTGTAACATAAATTGTCTGAACATTTTGAATTCAGTTACCTGAGATTCAGCTAGTCTAAATTTAAGAATTCTGGATGTCAGGATTGATATGCTGGGATTTCTCACAGCACGTAGTGGACATAAATGCAACCAGAACTCAAATCCATGGCATAAGAATCTTCTAAACACAGAATTCAGGTAAGCAAATTAATGATTGACATCCTAATTTTCTCCAGCAATTACACTACTTCGCTCATATCACTTTTCCTTTCATCAACCATGTCTATGTTCTGGAGAAAACTGCAGTTTATTTTTTGGCTTTGGACAGAAGTACTGGAATGTACTGAATATTCAAATGTTCATCCCATACTTCTCAGGATACTACGTTTGTATTGTATGAAATGCTTTGGCATAACAAATCTTATTTTAAGATATATATATAACTATATACAAAAGAACACAAACCACGATGTGCATCTGTACACAAATTGTCATCAAATACTTTATGTCACTTGCTTTAAAACAAATTTCAATTAGCAAAGGTAACGCACAAAAATAGAGAATAACTGCTAGATTCCAATCTCTCCAGGCTTCAGCTTAAAACCTGATGAAGCCTGACCGACACACAGGGAAATTACTCTGGTGATAAACCAGATGCTGTGTTCAAACAAAATATCTTATCAAGTAATGCAACTGAGGTCATTGCTATGGAATTTGATCTCAAAAAAGGGACTAGGGAATACTAGTTGTAAATAATAATAATATAATGAAAAGTGCAGACAAACTACTGTCATAATATCACAAAACCTACATTCATGAATAAAAATTACATCACAACCAAACACACCAAATATACATTATAACTCTGTGGGTTTAGAAATGAAGCAATCAACACTAAATCACACTTGAAATCAGGGTGAATATTGATGCCATTTTTTTAGAATACATTAGCAATCTGCCATACTTAAAGACTGCTAGAAAAAAATACAAAGTAAATCAACCCTCTCCATCACAGACAAAGATTTCAAGAAAATCTCTGTTCTTCATGCTCTGTTCAGACCAAGTTCTAAACACTGCATTTTCATTTTTAAGAATTCCAGTTTTATCTATCTGACATTCACTGTCTTTCCTTTCTTAGGAAAAGACCTTAGGTGATGTAGCAGTGGAAAGTGGAGTGGATTTTGGTAATCAACCCAGAACTTACTCTAAGAGCTATGTTGACAAGTGCAATCTCAGACAATACTTGTGAAGTTTAAGAGTCCTTAAATTACTTACTCCTTTTGCTGCAAAACTGACACTTGCATTTCACAGCTCCAGGAAATATACTACATAACAGAATATATTCTAAGGTACTTCTCTCAATTGAACAAATGGCAGCCAGGGACAACATGATGCATATTAAGGTTGCAAAAATTACCAGCTTTGGTGCTGGATTTTGAAACCACTCTCTTACCAGAAGCTATAACACAATTGTTAGGTAATATTTTCTCGTTAGTAGGTTAGCAGGTCACACTTACTATGCCTGCTTCCTTCACAAATGACTTTGCATTAATTATTGAAGGTCTAAGATCTAATTTTGCTACCTTTACTTTAAAAAGCCTCATAAAAATCAAGACTATATAAAGAATATTTTCCTATACAGTTGTATTTATGGCATGTAAAACTATCTTAACTTCATTTATGACAAAAACCTACAGATCAGAGATATGACTTGTGCCTTCTTTTAATTTGAGAGCTTGATAGACAGTTCAAGGTATCATTAACCTTTTGGAGCTCTGATTAGAAAACATCCCTAACAGTGTCCAGGAAAGTAAAATGGTATGTCCTACATACCTTGCAGTTATCTTTCTTTGCAAAGGTCTCAACATCCTAACTATTAACATTTTGCAAAATAACAAAGCACCATGTTATTAGAGCTTATGAGAACTATAATACCAGGATGGAAGAGGGCATCAAGGATCATCTGGTTCAACCTTTCTAGGCAAAATCTAGGCAGTCTAGACAGAATGGCCAGTACCTTGTCCATCTGAATCTTAAGTGTCTGACATTGGGGAATCCACCTCTGCCCTGGGGAGATTATTTCAATGACTGATTGATCTCATTGTGAAACATTTTAATTTTGTGTCTGTTTGGAATGTCACCAGGAGCAACTTGTACCCATTATCCCTCATCTTTCCCATTTGACTCCTTGTCAGATTTTAAAAAATTAATTACAGTCTTTGGACGCAAAAGTTAAGGGGAAGTTCTATTTCTCAACTGATGATTTTTTCCACTTCTTTTTCAAATGTGGACTACTACATAAAGGACCTTCTCTGACTACACAGCCTCTAACCATAAATTCATCCAGTTGTCTGTTTTCATAAAATGATGATCAAGCACATTGAAAGCAAAACCAGAATTTGAATAGACCTTCTTTGTGAGTTTAAAAAAATATAGAAAATTTTTTTAAAAATATCAAATTACCTCAAACCTTCCATATTTGCAAACTAAGTTAATATTGTAATTGGAGAATGAGATGCGGTCATGTCTTCTTACTGACTTGTACATTCCAGCAATCTAAGTTTCATCTTGAGACACTCAGAGATGTATTAAGGCAAGGCAGAGAAACAGTGAATACCAGAGAGTGCTACATCTGATTTATCTTAAGCACTTAGGACAAGATAAATTACTCTGAGAAGGTGCCTTTTAGCTTCCACTTGGTATAAAGGAAAACTGGAGCTACTAACAACTAACCCTAAATACACACTACAGCAAAACTGACTGAAGAAATATTATATTTTATTCTCATCAACTGATGCAAAAGTCATCAGGTTTTTTTCCCTTAGAACTTTGTTGTTTTAAAATGGGAAACACATGTTGAATTTTTTAATTGCTAGTAAGCACTTTTTCTAACGTTGCAACTATAAATGACACAATAAAACCATTCCTTTCCTAAGCAATTACATCTTATGATCTTGCTATAAAGCAGGAAAGGAGAATTACTGGATATCGTATTATATTACAAAAGAGACAGCTAAGAAACTGTCTTATAGAGTACTAAAAACAGTGAAAGGAAAATGCAAAAATAGAATGTGCATGATGTTCTATATTTAGCTTCGTGGGTAGACTGAAATCTCCTTTGAGCTGTCTTCCTTGATAATCACTGGGATGACCAAATTCTGAGGTAACAGTAGGGTGTTCTCAGCAGTATCTTTATGAGGACCCAAACCAGCCATTCCAAGACAATTCAAGAATTTACTATAGTTCTATATATAAGCATCCTTTTTATTTTTTTTAACTTTTGTTAACTGAGCCTAAATCAAACAGACAATTTTACATCCACTATTTTCTATATGTCTCCAATTTTATTTTTAATATGAGTTCTTGAGCCTTGCAACACAGACTACTCTTGAAGATTGTCCCACTGTTAGCATAGCTGTAACAGAGTTTCATTTATCTCAAAAAATTATTTCAAAGTGAAACATTTTCATATCTCCCTACATGTGAGCAGTTTTCCAGCTGCATGCAATCAGTGCATCTGCAGTGAATCATACAGAATCATCATTTTAAAGAGAGAAGGAATACTGGGCATGTGAGGTATATTCAGATACTATATTTCAACTATAGCATCAGTGTTTTCTTCAACAGCATTGAATATCACATGGGCAGTCACATTTGCCTCTGAGTGGCATAAAATCTTTAAGGCTCTTTTGCAGCATGTGTTTAATGTTATAAGGAAAAAAGCAAGGGGAAAATGAATGCCATTTCACTGATGATCCTATCATCACATGTAAAATATAACAGCACCACGCCCTTAACACTGAACCGCATATCAAACTAAAACAAAAGTAAAATTTCCAATTAAAAACATGCAATTGAAATATCTATACTATTAGTCAGTAATACCCTTAGGGTGAATTTCAATGGTATTGGCATTGCTAGTTGAGACACATGAAAATTTCTTCTATAGAGCTATTTCTTATTTATTTTTATGAGACACTACCAGTTTATACCACTCATGTATTGGAAAAAAATGATTGAGTAGATTTTTACTTCTTACCATCAACACACGCTGGCCTTGCTCTTGTTGTACCGGCAATCTGTCCTTTTTTACATGCACAGCGAGCCGTTTGTCGGGCTATAGTCCTTCGGGGCTGACTGCTATCTCTGTCCAAAGTAACAATCTCACATGTACCTGCAGCCAGTTGACCTGGAAAAAGAACCAGCAACAGGTACCAGAGTCACTGAATGCACTACAGGCAATCTATTACAGCCGAATAGAGTCACGGCCCAAAGTCACAGCAGACACTCTGCAACAAATGGGCAGCTAGCTGATGGATATAATAAAACCAAGATGACATACAATTTTTCTTTGTGGTGGACATATGAAAACCCTGCACACAGGTTCTGTCAGAAAATGATTATTTTTCCATAAAAACCAGAGAGCTGAGGTTACACAGGTTACTTTCACTTATGTCAGCTAAGTAAAGGAACAATCTTTTACAGAAATGGAATTTAAATGGTGCGCTCTTTACATACTTTCAGAAAAGAAACGATAAAGTACATGGAAAATAAAAACTTCCCCACATGCTCATGAACTCAATGAAGTCTTAAATGCTGTGTGTGTTGGTTTTGAAAGAAAAAGTCTTTCAAAGCATGCCCATATTTGACCAAACTGTCAATCCTTCAGCTCTTGCTCATCTAAATGAAAAGATAATTCATTATCTACCTATATTTGACCAAACTGTCAATTCTTCAGCTCTTGCTCATTTAAATGAAAAGATAATTCATTATCTACCTGACTCATATATGATGTAGCTGTCCTTTTTTTTTTCAGTTTACTAAACTTACTGTGTAACCATCCTCCAGATGACTTAAATTTCACTGCACCCTTAGCTCAGTAACACTGCTTATTTTTTATTGACTTTTCCAATGTATGTAGCTTTTCCTGAATACTACAGAAATCCACACCACCTAATTCTGAATTTGGACCATGCTATGAGAGGTGAAGCAAAAGGTTCAACAAAATTATTTTATGAAGAATATTATTCTGAACTAAATGTTACACATTTAAAGGGATTCACTTCCTTTGGTACAACCAATAGTAGGCTACTGGTATATCAAAACAGGACTATTTACAGGCAAAAAATATACATTATGGAATTTCAATGTGTAGAAAGATTGAAAAAACCTCCAGCTATCACTTTGTGTTACACATAATTTCTGGGATTTATGGTGCAGTACTAAATTTAATTTCTATTGGATTTTGTCTTTGTAGCAATCAGTTATAAACCTGCAAATAAATATGTGCAACAGTGTACCTGCAAATCACTAGCTTACTGTGTTTTGTTTTTTAAGAAAAAAAAATAGATAGGAAGAAATTCAATATAGTATTTAGGAAAAAAAAAAGTATGCCATTTATGCAGTTTAAATAATATTCACAGTAAATTATTTTTATGCTATTGAAATATTGAAAAAAATGAGACAGCAGAAATTTTAAACCTATATTAACATTAAAATTAAACAAAAAACCCCAAACAACCTGAAATATATGAATAGCCTTTAGTTTCAGTCTAGAAGTATGATGCTATTTCTCTATGCTGCATTTTTTCATTTAGAATAAAGTTTACCCACTCTATTTTTCTCAGAAACAGCTTACGGTGCTTATTGTGTGGAACAGCAAAATATGGTAGGCTGTCACCAGCACTGTGACTGGTTCACTACTAAGCCACCTAAATTTTATGCTTCTCTGACTCTTACACTGTAGGAAATTGCAACACAGTAAAACTGAGGATCTCAAAGATGAGTGTGGAACAAGGTACTCTAGAAATACATGCAAATATATGACATGTTAGTAATATACGTTAGGCATTTATAAATACACATACGATATTCACAATAGTGAACACTATCACTCTAGTGTTTAATAGCTGCTGGAACTAGACTTATGAGCTATGGTCAGTCCCATGTTTCTACTCATTTCCATCCACTCTGTTAATAAAAACAACTTATGATAAACACACTGATTAGAGGACTTTATTATATGGTGTGTTTTAATTTGTTTCCTGCAAATATTGGATGAGAATGCAAAGGTTTAGCAAGAAAGATAGTGGTACATGATTTTCAAGTGAAGGATAAGGGAGATTCATCTACACTGAAACATCTTGAACTGAAGAAAAAAAAATATCTTTTTTTTTCACCCCATCAGGAATATATGGAAAAAAAAAAATCTTTTTTTTTTCACCCCATCAGGAATATATTTTATTCTGGGCTGCAGGAGATCTATTACTCCTAAGGAATATAGCTGTCTTAGTAGATCATGTAAGAAAAAAGATAATCAGAGGTGTATTTAGATCTTGACGCCTTGGGCCTTTGAACATCATGATTACAGTCCTGCATTCAGAATAGAAACCAAAGAAAAAGTGGAAGAATAAGTATGACTCATGTAACTGTATGGGTTGCCATATCACCACTATCTATAAGTCTTTATACTATTGTTTCTTTCATTAAAAAGATATCATAAAACATACAATCTAGGTGAATAATTATATAAACCCCTGCTTCAGAGGAAAGGAATCAAGATTTACAGCACAGTGAAGGTGAATCATGGATTAACAAATCAGGTTGGAAGAGACCACAATGGGTCATCTGGTCCAACCTCCCTACTCAAGCAGGGCCACTGTAAAGCACATGGCTCAGAATTGTACCCAGACTGTTCTCAAATACCTCCACAGTGAGGGAGAACTCACAACCTCTGTGAAGCAGTCTGCTCCAGTGCTCGGTGACTCACACAATAAAGAAGTTCTTCCTTGTATTCAGGTGGAATTTCCTGTGCATCAGGTTTTGCCCATTACCTCATGTTTTATTGGTTTCCACAACTGAGAAGAGTCTGGCTCCATCCTCTTGGCACTTCCTGTTCATGGGCTTGAATACATTAATGAGGTCCCCTCAGTTGTCTCTTCTCAAGACTGAACACCAGGACTCCCAGGTGCTTCTCCACAGAGCTGCTCTCCAAAGGGTCAGTGCCCAAACTGTACTGGTGCTTGGGGTTATTCCTCCCTAGGTACAGGACCCTGCACTTGTCCTTGTTGAATTTCAGATGGTTCTTCTCTGCCCATGTCTCCAACCTATTGAGTTTCCTCTGAAGGGCAGCACAACCCTCTGAGGTATCAGCCACTCCTCCCAATTTTGTATCACAAGTGAATGTGCTGAGAACACACTGTCTCATTGCCTAAGTCATTGATGAATAATATAACAAAACTGGGCCCAGTATGGAACCCTGGGGGACACCACTCATGATAGGCCTCCAACTAGACACTGTGCCACTGATCACAACTCTCTGGGATCTGTTGCTCAGTCAGTTCTCACTCCAATTTACTGTCCACTCGTCCAACCCACAATTCATAAGTTTTCCAATGAGGATGCTGTGGGACACAATGTTGAAAGCCTAGCTGAAGTCAAGGTAGACAATGCCCACTGCTCTCCCTTCATCCATCCAGGCAGTTGTTTCATCATAGAAGGCAATCAGGTTGGTCAAACATGACTTATCTTTAGTGAACCCATGCTGACTACTCCTGATCACCTTCTTGTCCTCCATATGGGCAGAGATGACCTACAGAATGAGGCGTTGTATTACCTTTCCAGGGACTGAGGTGAGACTGACTGGCCGGTAGTTCCCTGGGTCCTTCTTGCCCTTTTTGAATGATGGGGTGACATATGCCATCTTCTAGTCTTCAGGCACCTCTGCTGATCTCCATGACTTTTCGCAGACAATTGCGGGCAGCCTGGCTATGATGTCCATCAGGTCTCTGAGCACTTGTGGATGCATCCCACTGGGGCCCATGGACTTGTGGATGTCCAGTTTAATTAGGTGTTCTCTGACCCAATCCTCTTTGACCAAGGAGGTTTTTTCCCCACCTTCATTTACCCTGGTTTCTTGGGTCAGAGATCCCTGCAGGCTGATCTTATCTGTGAAGACTGATGCAAAGAACATATTCCATAACTCCTGTCTCTACATCCTCTGTTATCAGGGTCCCCTCTCCATTAACTAGTGGGCCCATGTTATCCTTTTTTTTTTCCCTTTTGGTATTTACATATTTTGAAAAGCCCTTTTTTTTATCCTTGATATCCTTGGCCAGATTCAATTCTAGCTTGGCCTTCTTATCTCCTATCTACCTGCTCTGGCCACCTCTCTATTTCCTCCAAGTGGCATGATACCACTTTCACTTCCTGTGCCCTCCTTGCTTATGTTTCAATAATCATGAATAATGACTACACTCAGAGAAAAAGAACAATGAAGCTCTATGTCAAAGTAATTTGTGAAAGCAAAAGCTTTCCAGAGAGCTCAAGCAGTGAGTATCAATAATAACATCTAGCCATAGTATTTTCTGCTTTTGTACCTGTACAGTTGTAGTTCTGCATAGGTTCATTTTGAGCCAGCTGGGCTATTTCTTTTGGGTTTGTTTGGGGCTTTTTTAATTGTTTTCAGTTGTTTATTTTGTTTAGAAATGATAACTTCTTCCAGGCATAGCGACCTCATTTTTTTATGAACTTTGCAAACTAGAACACCTAAACAAGAGTAGTTGCTATACATAGGATGCAAAGATTTTAAGTATATTGAGCACTGCAATGTAGTATACATTCACTGTTACTTGACTTTAGATGGCTGAAAAACATGAAAAGTAAGGTTTTGGAAGTCCATTTCCAGACAGAGAGTTATCCTGGTGTAAAGCAAGTCCTCTCTGCCTTTCATCAGAGCGTACGTCTACAGGAATACATTACTTACATGACATTTATGCTACTTTGGCTTTTTCTAGAAACATAAGGTACAAAATAAAGGAACCAAGGGAATATGCTTCTTGTAAGTACTGAGCTACACAAATTAAGATACCTTTAGTTTTCAGGGAATTTAACAATATCTTTCAAAGATATTAATGAAAAAAGGCTGTTCATCTGTGAGCCGCTGAACACTTCATTCCTAAACCCAGAGAAGAAATCTCAAGGCAGCAATGGGTGGAATTTCTCTGGAGCTTTTCCAGTTGAGAGATTAAGAACCACAGTCTATGAATGGTCATAAAGGCTCCATATTTTCATTATATTTTATTTACACTCTTGCAGTTCACAAAGCAATTCACCATCTTCTAACCTGAATGAAATAATCTCAGTGGACAAAAAGACAAGCATTGTCAGAGAACTCTAGCCTTGTCTGAA